TTTTTCTTTTATGAATTGTGCTTTTGGTGTCAGCTCAACTCTTTACCTAGTCCTAGATCCCAAAGATTTTCTCTTACGTTTTTTCTTAAAGTTTTTTATATTTCCATTTATATTTTAGTATATGATGAATTAATTTTTGTATGTGTGAGACTTTTGAATTTTGTCAAGGTCCATTTTTTCTTTTTCTTTTTTTGACCTTGTATATCCAATTCCTCCAGCGCCGTTTGTTGAAAAGACTGTTTTTCCTCCACTGAGTTTCATTTGCACCTTTGTCACAAATCAGTTAGATATATTTGTGTGGATCTGTTTCTGGGTTCTCTGTTCTGTTCCATTGATCTATGTGTCTGTTCCTCTGCCAGTAGCATACAGTGTTGATTACTATAGCTGTATAATAAATCTTGAAATCAGGTAGACCCATTCCTCCCACTTTGTTTTTCTTTTTGAAATTGTTTTAGCTCTTCTAGTTATCTTACTTTTCCATATAAAGTTTAGAATATTCTTGTATATATTTACACAAAATCTTGTTGGGATTTTGATAGGAATTGTTATAAAGCTGTATATCAGTTTGGGGGAGAATTCACACCTTTATTATGTTGAGTCTTGCAATCCATGAACATGGTATGTCTCTTTATTTATTTAGATTTTTTATTTCTTTCATCAGCATTTTGTAATTTTCAGTATACAGATCCTGTAAATGTTAAGTTTATACCTAAGTGTTTCATTGTTTTTGGATACAATGTGAATGGTATTGTATTTTTAATTTTGATGTCCACATGTTCATTGCTGGTATATAGAAATACCATTGAATTTTGGATGTTTATCTTATATCCTACTACCTTGCTGAACTCATTTATTAGTTCCAGGAGATTTTTGTTGTTGTTGTTGATTTCTTCGGATTTTCTACATAAACAATCATGTCTTCTGAAAATAGAAGGACAGTTTTATTTCTTCTTTTCCAATCTCTATGCCTTTTATTTCCTTTTTGTGCCTTATTGCATTGGCTAGAACTTCCAGTACTATCTTGAGTAGTAGTGATGAGGGTGGACATCTTTGCCTTGTTCTTGATCTTAGGGGGGAAGCATGTCATCTTTCACTATTAAGTAAAACGTTAACTGTAGGTTTTTGATTGTTGTTGTTAGATGCTTCATCAAGTTGAGAAAGTTCTCCTCTATTCCTAGTTTTCTGAGAGTTTATACCAAGAATAGGTGCTAAATTTTGTCAGATGCTTTTTCGGTATTGATTGATGTGATCATGTGATTTTTCTTTTTTAGCTTGTTACTATGGTGCATTACACTGATTGATTTTGAATATTAAGCCAGTTTTGCATCCCTGGAATGGCTACGTGGTCATGATGTATAATTCTTTTTCTGTATGTCTGAATTCTGTTTGCTAATATTTTATTAAGGATTTTTACATCTATATTCATGAGGGGTAATGGTCTGTAGTGGTTTTTTCTTTTTTTTTTTTTAACTGTCTCTGGTTTTGATATGAAGTACTAGCTTCATAAGATGCCTTGGGAAGTGTTCCCGTATCTTCTATTTTCTGGAAGAGGTTGTATAGAATTGGTGTTAATTTTTTTTTAAATGTTTGGAAGAATTCTCCAGTGAAATCATTTGGGCCTAGAAATTTTTTGAGGGGGATTTTGAAATGACAAACTTGTTTTCCTTAATAGTCATTCAGATAATCTATTTTATATTCATGAGTTATTGTAGTTTGTGTTTTTTTTTGAGGAATTGGTGACATTTTGATTGTTGTCAAATTTGTGTGTGTAGAATTATTTGTAGTATTCCCTTATTATCTTTCTGATATTTGAGGGTCTATAGCAATATTTCCTGTTTCATTAATGGTATTGATAATTTGTGTTCTCTCTCTTTTTGTATGTGTTAATCTTGCTAGTAGTTTGTGAATTTTATTGATTTTTTAAAAGTACCAACTCTTTGTTTCACTGATTTTTCTCATGCACAACTGAAGGAAAATGCTGCCTGGTCCTACACCATCCCCATGCTTAGTTGCAGATCAGACTGTTGTGATCCATAAGGTGTTCATTCGCTGAGTTTTGGTAGTAGATCACCAGGCCTTTCTTCCTACTCTTAGTCTGTAAGCTCCACTGAAAACCGTTCAGTATCATAGCAACATACATTCCACCACTGACAGATGGCTGGTAGCTGTGCATGAGGTGCATTGGCCAGGAAATGAACCCAGGTCTCTTGTGTGAAAGGTGAGAGAACTCTACTGCTGAACCACCAATACCCTCTTTGGATAGATAGAGGAAGCTTCTGTTGGGGCTTTTTCTTGTCTGCACTCATTTTTGTTTTTGGCTTACCAGCTTTGTCAGTTCCAAATCTGGGATATATGAAGGAAAAAGAAAACTCAGGTAACTTGCCACAGTATTGTTCTTACGGTCTGAGGTCCCTAGTCCTTCTGTCTTTTTCTCTCCACCTTTCAGAGTGCTGTGTTTGTTTTATATATTGCCGAGAATTTTTAGTTGTGCTTTCTGGGAGGAATACGGAAGAGTTCATCTACTCCGTCTTCCCAGTAACAGAAGAATTTTCATATACTCTAGCTGTTTTGGAGCCCTGGTGGCACAGTGGTTAAGTGTTCAGCTGCTAACCAGATTGGCAGTTCAGATCTACCAACTGCTCCTTGGAAACACTATGGAGCAGTTCTACTCTGTCCTATAGGGTCGCTATGAGTTGGAATCAACTTGATGGCAACGAGTTTTTTTTTTTTTTTTTTTAAGTATAGTTGTTTCGGAGCCCTGGTGACACAGTGGTTAAGAGCTGCTGCCAAAAAGTTGGCAGTTTGACTCCACCAACCACTCTACAAGACAACCTTGGAAACCCTATGGGGGCAGTTCTGCTCTGTCCTATAGGGTCACTGTGAGTCAGAATTGACAGCAGTGGGTTTAGTTTTTGGTTTATAATTGTTTTAAAAATTACATTCTTTTTTCTATTTACAAAAATATATAATGTAGAACATTTGGAAAATTCAAAAAAGTCTAAAAGAGAATAATAACATTTGACATACATTTTCTAGACATTTTCTGTGAATGTGTTTACAGTTGGCTCTTGGTATCCTCGGGGGATTGGTTGCAGCAGGTGCTCAAGTCCCTTATATAAAATGGCATAGTATTTGCATATAATCTATGCACATCTTTCTGTATACTTTATTTACGTGGTGGGTTACGTTGATTGATTTTCTAATGTTGAATCATCCTTGCCATACCTGGTATGAATCCCACTTGGTCATTTGTTGCAGCCCCTCACACGGGGCACCATCTGTTGCAGCGGTGACGGTTGTCGGGATGGCGGAGACAGTAACCAAACACAACTCTTACAGAGAAGTGGGGCCAGGAGGGTCACTCTGAGGAGTCGACCCCGGCTTCAGTCCCAGGAGTTTATTTATAGTCAATAACAGCAAGCAGTGAAGCAAATAACAGAACATTGGGCTTTGGGTGCGGGCAAGGGAGAAGGAATTCAGGTAAACAAGTCAGTCAGTAAAGGAACCAATAGGTTTGGGAAAACAAGTCGTGACAAGTCTCAACATGTTGGGGACAAGTCTCAACATGTTGGGGACAAGTCTCAACATGCTGTGCAGCATAGAGGCCTTTGGGGGCTGCAGTTGTCAATAGTGCAGCCATGTTTCAATGGCATATATCCCCACAGTCGTTGTGTATTATTTTTTTATATGATGCTGAATTCTATTGGCTAGAATTTCATTGAGAAGTTTTGCATCTGTATTCATGAGAGGTATTGGTCTGTAATTTTCTTTTTTGGGGGTGTCTTTGCCTGGTTTTGGTATCAGGGTTATCCTGGTTTCATAGAATGAGTTTGAAAGTATCCCTTCCTTTTATCTGTTCTGAAATAGTTTGAGTACTACTGGTGCATGCTCTTCTCTGAATGTTTGGTAGAATTCTCCACTGAAGCCATCTAGGCTAGGGCTTTTTTTTTGTTGGGAGTTTTTTAAATTACCTTTTCAGTTTCTTCTCTTGTTATGGGTCTGTTCAGATTTTTGACTTCAGTTTGTGTTAGTTTAGGTGGGTAGTGTGTTTCTAGAAATTTGTCCATTTCCTCTAGGTTTTCAAGTTTGTTGGAATATAGTTTTTCATAGTACTCTGTTATGATCCTTTTTATTTCAGTTGGGTCTGTTGTAATGTCCCCCATTTCGTTTCTTATGTGGGTTATTTGCGTACTCTCTTGTTTTTCTTTTGTCAATTTGGCTAGTGGTTTGTCAGTTTTCTTTTTTTTTTATTTATTAGTTTTTTTTTTTTTTTATTGTACTTTAGATGGAGGTTTACAGAATAGTTTCTCATTAAACAGTACACATATTGTTTTATGACAATGGTTAACAACCCCATGACATGTCAACGCTGTCCCTTCTCAATCTTGGATTTCCTATTACTAACTTTCCTGTCCCCTCCTGCCTTCTAGTCCTTACCTCTGGACTGCTGTGCCCCATTAGTCTTCATTTTGTTTTATGGGGCTGTCTAATCTTTGGCTGAACGGTGAACCTCGGGAGTGACTTCATTATTGAGCAAAAAGGGTGTCCGGGAGCCATACTCTTGGGGTTTCTGTCAATTTTCTTGATCCTTTGAAAGAACCAACTTTTGGTTTTGTTGATTCTTTCTGTTGTTTTTCTGTTCTCTATTGCATTTATTTCTGCTCTGATCTTTATTATTTCCTTTCATCTAGTAGTTGTGGGCTTCTTTTGCTGTTCTCTATTTGTTCGAGTTATATAGCTAATGTTTTGATTTTATTCATTTCTTCTTTTTTGATGTGTGCATCAGTTGCTATAAATTGACCTTTGAGCACTGCCTTTGCTGTGTCCCAGAGGTTTTGGTATGATGTGTTTTCATTCTAATTTGATTCTAGGAAGTTTTTTATTCCGTCTTTGATTTCTTCTATTACCCACTGGTTTTTAAGCAAGGTGTATTCAGTTTCCATGTATTTGATTTTTTGCCTTGCTCTTCCTGTTATTAATTTCTACTTTTATGGTGTTGTGATCAGAGAAGATACTTTGTCTTATCTCAGTGTTTTGGATTTTGTTGGGGGTTGCTTTGCGGCCTAAGACGTGGTATGTTCTGGAGAACTTTTCATGGGTGTTGGAAAAGAATGTGTGCTTTGCTACTGTTCCTCCCATATACTTTAAATTATCTCTAGATTACTTATAATAAATCTAATATAATGTAAATACTATGTAAATAGTTGTTGTATCAAGTTGAAGACTTGCTCTGGAAGAGCCTTTCTCTTTTTTGAGTTTCTTGAGCTCTTCTGAGAATGCCAACGCTGCTTTGGCATCAGGCGATGCTGATTTGCCCGTGATCTTGAAGTTCCTGAGGCTGTAACGCTTTACATAGCTAGCCAGCCGTCCCTTGATAGCCTTAAATTTCTTCTTCTCACTCTCCTCAACCACTTCACACTTAGCCTTTAAGGGATTGCTTTGACCACTTCATTGCTTTTTAGGAGCAATTGTTTACAGAAATAAAGGGTGCACACAACACAAGTAGTGAAGGAACAAGACGTGAGATGAGCAATGCTCAAACAATGAGTGCTGGAGAGAGACTGAGGATCTGTGAGATGGCGGGTGGCTATCCCAGGGTATCCCCCAAGGAAACTCCCCTTACAACTGATCGGCTGATCACTTCAGATCACATCATGGAGGACGACTACATCATTATCTAACTGCTAGACTGTATCATTACATAACTCCCAAACCACTGAGAATCATGGCCCAGCCAAGTTGACACACAACCTTAACCATCACAGGTAGCTATTTAGATTTTAAAGTTAAAAAATAAGTGTCCATTCAGGTTTACAAAATGCTATTTTGATTAAAATTTTTGTTCATATTTTCCATAATATTGTAAGAGAGAGGGGTTATTATACTTCTCAGAAGAAAATTTCAGATAATAATGGCTTTCTTGTATGCTCTTGGAAGAAATAAGAGATATTAGTGTTTGTTTCAAGGAACTCTAGCATTAGTTTTCTGCTGCAATTTGTAAAACAAGCCAGAATGACTTAAAATATTTTCCATAGTATAACTTTTTCTAATTACTTTGCAGTGTATTTTCAGATGTTCAAATTTATTGGAAAATTGAGATTTCATAGCTTGGGATTCTTACTAATAGCTGTCCAGATTCATGTAGCAATTCTAATGAAAAATTATTACTCAATTTCATTTTTTTTGCCACTTTGCATAATATATATGTTTAGGTATAGTGTAGATAGCTACAGTATAACTCAAGTAAAAATTATAATAAAGTCACATTTTACAGATGAGTGTAGATGTGTTGTTGTTAGGTGCCATTGAGTTGGTTCCGACTCATAGCACCCTATATAATATTCGAAGTTGTTTTAGGTTTTGTTTCTTGAAAGATGAAGGTACATATGTCGTAGTTTGTTTATGAAGCCATTCTTTGAACTTAATATCACTCATTAATTAGACATGAAATTGAGATGTGTTATTGATCCTATTTTAAAAACTTAATAATTATATTTATTTTCCTTTTCCTTTGCTGAAGTAATAAGAAATGATATAAAAAATTAAAAAATCCAGAAAAAGGAAAAGGCAGTTTTCATATTTTTTTATAAGAAGTTACCATTGAGAAATGCTTAGTAAGCTCTGTCTCTCTTTGACCAGTTTGTGCAGCATGTGGTTTGGATCTCATCTGGCAGTGAACCCTCAAATGTCCCAGGCCAGCTTCATTGGGATCACTTGAAGCATTGTTTAAAAATAATTTTCGCCTTCTGCCTTAGGTTTTGATTCGTTAGATCTGGGATGGGGGTCCAGAATCTGAATTTTTCTTTTAACTTTATTGAGATATAATTCACATACTGTACGGTGCACCCAATTAATGCAGCCAATTCAGTGGGTTTTGGTATAGTCGAAGAATTATGCATCCATCACCACACCAATTTTTTACCAACCGTCAGTTGCCCTCAGATCGATTCTGACTCATGATGACCCTGCGTGTGTCAGAGTAGAACTGTGCTCCATAGGGTTTTCAGTGGCTGATTTTTCAGAGGTAGATTGCCAAATCTTTCTTTTGAGGCACCCCTGGGTGGGAACCCCAACCTTTTGTTTAGTAGCTGAGCACATTACCGTTTACACTGCTCAGCCAATTTAGAATACTTCAGTTACCCCCAAAAGAAACCCTGCTGCCCTTAGCTGTAACCCATAATCCCTTCATGCCTCCCTAGTCCTAGGCAACCACTAATCTACTTTCTGTCTCTATAGATTTACCTATTATGAACATTTCATATAAATAGAATCTTACAGTATGTGGTCTTTTGTTACCGACTTCTTTCACTCAGCATAATGTTTTCAAGGTTCATCCATGTTATGGTATCTATCAGTACTTCATTTCTTTGTATGAGCACATACTATTTCGTTGTATGCATATACCACATTGTATGGATATACCATATATTGATGGACATTTAGATTGTTTCTACTTTTTGGGTATTATGAATAATGCTACTATTAACACTTGTGTGTAAGTTTTTATGTGGATGTATGTTTTCAGTTCTCTTAAATATATACTCGAGTAGAATTGCTGGATCATATGATATGATTTTGATTTTCTACAGTAGTGGTTCTCATTGGGAGTGAGAGTAGAAGTGTGATTTTGCCCCTCGGGACATTTGATGGTGTCTGGAGACATTTTTGGATTTTACAACTGGGAGGGTAGTAACATTTAGTGGTAGAGACCAGGAATGCTGCTATATGTCTTACCAAGCACAGGACAGCCCCCCACAACAAAGGATTATCTGGTCCAGGATGTCGGTAGTATGGAGGTTGAGAAACCCTGGTCTGGAGGAGAATTAGAATAAATAATTGCAGGATCAGATTTTTAGCCCTTACATTGGCAGTTGGATATTACATTAACCTTACATGTTAGATTTATAGTTTGTATCAAATCCTTGAATATATTGGGGATACATAGATGAACAGAATAGAGAACCTTTGGGACCTACAGGACTCAGTTTAGTCTAGTGCAATATAATATAATGTGCTGTCCGTGAGAGCAGTGAACCCTAGCCCAGAGCCTGATTTGGTACGTTATTTGTTGCTTGGACAAGATATGTTGTGGTATATTGAACTAAAATGCTTCTTAGTGATTTCATAGTTGATAATTATCTGGCCTGGTAGACTCCACGTAGCTGTATTGACTGTATTCCCTTTCCTCATCCCCTCCTTGCCAAAATCAAAGGTCACATAAAAGAATGTGCCTAGTAGTTTAATAGTTTATTTTAAAGAAATTTTTAAAATAGATACTATTTTTAAAAGTCTTAGTAGCTCTATAAAGAAATTAAAGGTTGACTGTGAGTGTAGCTCACTTGCAGAGGATGTGTGAGTGTGTGTTTTGAAGTGGAGTGCTTTTCAGAGTTGATGTTAATGAGACTAAATGATGTTCCAGGATCTGTTTATCTTCCCCTTCTTGTGCCTCCATTCTTCTTTCTGTGTTTGTCAGTTTTTGTACTGTATTATGTTTGGAGATACATGGGGGATTAAAGAAAGATAAACGTCATCATCCCTTCTTTTACATTTATAATATTATTGAGAAAATGAGACATGTCATATGTGGATACTGTAACAATTTTTCGCTGGTAGGGAAAACATACTGATTTATTGAAGTGAATTTTCCAATTAAACCCACTTTTAAAAAATCTTCACCAATTTTGATAGACAGTTTCTTTTTTTCTTTTTTTTTATAGACAGTTTCTAAACACATGCTTTAGTGGTTTTTTTTTTTTTTTTAAGTTCATGATAGTTTAAGACAAACTTTAAGAACATGCAGGAGTATTAAATGAAAACTGAATCTTTTTTCCTAAGTAAAAGCTAGTATTTCATTGTTTAATTTGTATATCTTTTAAAATGAGAGATGCTGAATATCTTATCATATATTTATTAGTCATTTGAACTTCTGTGAAGAGTTTGTGTCTTGGACTCATTTTTATTATTGGGTTGTTGATATTTTTCTTGTTCGTGAGAGCTCTGAGTATATTACAAAAATTAGCCCTTTGTGTATCATAGTATCATATGTAATGCAAATATTTTCCCTTAATTCATTTCGCCTTTTGACTTTACTTATGGTATTTTCTTTTAACATGTAAGTTTTTTGTTTTTGGATAGTCAAATTTATCAATCTTTTACTTTGATTTCTGGTTCTTTCAACTTATTTCTTCCACTAACACAAGAGATCTTCCTTGATTGGAGAGTTTGCAGTTGAGGAATTTAGTAAGACTTGAATAATTATCCTCTTTTTACAGATTAGGAAACTGAGGTACAGAGGGATCACCAAGATTAGGAAAGTGAGGTACAGAGGGATCACCAAACAGTAAGTGGTAAGCAATCCATGTTTAACCACTGTATTGTAATGCTTCTCGGTGGAACTTGAATGTGAATCCTTAAAAAAGTGAATCCATAAAAGCCCTTATTTTATTTTTTTAACTTATTTGGAAATAATTGTGGACTCAACAGAAGTTGAAAATTGTACGTACAAGGAATCCTGTGTACCCTTCACATAGTTTACCCCAATGGGACATCTTACATAAACTGTAGTATAATATCAAATCCAGGAAATTGACGTTGGTACATTACTGTTAACTAGTAGTTAATTGTAGTTTCAGACAGACCTTATTTGGTTTTCACTTGTTTTTAATACTACATTTATATTTTGTGTATGTTGTTGTTGTGTACCGTCAGGTCACTTCTGACTCATAGTGACTCTATGGGACAGGATAGAACTGCCTAGGCAGAAATCTTTATGAGAGCAGATTGCCAGGACTTTTCTCCTGTGGAGCTGCTGGTGGGTTCAAACCACTCACGTTTTGGTTAGTGCCACCAGGGCTTCTTTGTGTGTGTATAGTTCTGTGCAGTTTTATCCCATATAAGAAATTTCTGTAACCACCACCACTGCAATCAATATACAGAACTGTTACCTCTTTGTATTCATACCCTCCCCCCACCTACCTGTCCCTGTCCCCTGGCAGCCACTAATTTGTTCTCCATGTTTATAGTTCTGTCATTCTGAGAATGTCATATAAATGGAATCATATAGTATGTGACTTTTTTTTTTGGGATGATAAACGTGCAACAAATCATTTGCCTTTTCAACATGCTTTATGTGTATAATTCAGTGACATTAATTATGTTTATCATGTTGTTCAACTGTTACCATCCTCTATTTCTAAACTTTCCCATCACCCTTAACAGAAACTCAGTGTCCCCTAAGCAGTGAATTCCCTTTTCGCCCCCCCTCCTATCTGCCCCTGATAACCACTAATAAACTTTGAGTACAAGACAATCCCTGGGTTATGAACGTCCGACTTACATACAACCCATAGTTCTGAACCAACTCCTGTAAAGCCTATCATATTAAAAATTTGAGGTACATACAATGGTTCGTAATAACAAACGGGCGCTACTTTGCAACACCAAAACATTATTATTATTATTCCTTTACTATTATGTTAAAGACGTTTTAGTGTATCTGGAAGTATTTAATGTTTTTTATGCATAGAAAAGGTACTCTGTGTACTAAATACTAAGACAAACATTTGACTAACTGATGTTAGATACGAACTGGAGTTTTGTGACATACTTTTGACTGCTCCAAGGCAGTCTTGTGCTGGATTTTTATACATCGTTTCGTTCAGTCGTTACAATAATCTTTCTATGTCAGTATTTTCCTTATCTGTAAAATTGGAGGTGGTGAGGCTCAGAGAAGATAAGGGTTCAAGGTTGCACAGGCAGTAAAAGGATAGATTAGAATTTAGATCTGTCTGACAATTAAGTGTGTTTTTTGCACAGTGCCATGCGGACTTGCCTGGTAGTTCTTTTCAGGCTTTTACTTGGTTCTTAAATTCTAGATGTTGGCAATTATGTGATGATACTTGAATTAGGTGTGGTTAGAAGGCGCAGCATCATTTTACTTGGTTCTGAAATTCTAGATGTTGGCAATTATGTGATGTTACTTGAATGAGGTGTGGTTAGAAGGCGCAGCATCAAAGCAAGTACAGGAGATTGTAATACAAGCAAGGTGATGGCTTGGTCCATTATCTTGTGATTTTCTTGTGTTGGTGTGATGGGAGATTATCAGTGGGCATCACAATCGGGTTACAGCTTCGAGAGCAGCTATATAACCTGTCTTAGTTTCAGAGCTAACTAATATTGTCTGCCTTTTCTTTGTTCTTTTTCCTTTTTTTCTCTTATCCTTTCTCTTTTCTACTTGGCTTTCTCTCTCTGTTTATAAGAGCCAGAGAAACCAGAAACACATTACTGAAGAACTAGTGTCTTTTCAAATACCTAAAATTTTTGTAGCTGATGATTGGGCTTCACCATGAATTTCTTTTTTGTTAGCAGGTTCAGGACAGACCATTACAAATTTTGAAAGTGAATGCAGTGAAAATCAGCACTAGGAAAGTAACAACATGAATGAACATCAAAATACTGACCTTTTTCCAAAGAATGAGGGTTACTGATTAAATAAGAATCTGTGTGTTGTATGTTATTGCATCTACTTGCTTGTTCCTTTTTTAGAGTTAAGCCTGATTTTCCACTTTTCCACTCTTAGACTATTATTTATACTTTCTCAGTTTGTCAAATTCATCTCATCTTTTAAAATGATAGCTGCCTTCTGACTCCTTTATACTGGGTGAATGCCCTCCTCACCTTGCTCAGGCTCCAGCACCTACCATCACTGGCCCCTCCTCACTCTGCCTGGCCTGTGACACCCTACTCTGGGCCACCATGACTCCCTCCCTGCCCCAAAATGTGGACTCTGACTTTGCTCTGCCCCACCCAGTGACTTTAGGCTGAATTGTTTTAGAAGGGAAAACCAAAAAAATACCAAACCGTTGCTGTCGAGTCGATTCTGACCCATAGCAACCCTATAGGATAGAGTAGAACTGCCCCATAGTGTTTCTAAGGAGCAGCTGGTGGGTTCGAACTGCCAACCTTTTGGTTTGCAGCTGAGCTCTTAACCACTGGCCACCAGGGCTCCTTGGAAGGAAAAAGGGCCTGGATTTGATTTCCAGGGAGATAATTCTGGTAGATAGTTCATACGGTAAGTTGGGTAAAAGACTGTGTCAGAGAACTCAGTTAAGAGTCCAGTAAGGGAGAAGGCTTGAACCAAAGCATGTGGAGATAGATAAAGAAGATCAAGCGCTCTACAGATGATGCTTAATTATGCAAGTTATTTACTGAACACCTGTTATGTGCTAGAAGGTATATTAAGTACTCTCCATGGATTGTCTCATTTAACTCTCATAACTCCACGATGGTAGGTTTTATCATTTTTATTTTACAGATGAGTAAACTGAGACATGGAGAGGTTAGATAACTTGCCCAACTTTACCCAGCTCTTCAGAGAAAGAGCCAGGATTGGAAGTCAGGCAGTCTGATTCTAGAACTTGTACTCTTGACCATTATGCCAGATTGGGGGCTTATTTTTGTAACCATTAGGACTATTGTGAATAATGAGCATCATTTGAAGTAGTCAAGCAGGCAGTAGATTATCACCAATTATCTATCTCAAGGATCCATAGAAAGGATTTTGCTACACTCTCTGGTTGGATTAGATGATCTTGAAGGACCCTTCTAAATGCCAAGATTCTGTGATTTGCTATACAGGGAGTCCTTGCTTTGCACAGTTGATAGGCATGAATTTCAGTTACCATGGTTTAGTTAAATAACACCAATCCTCCAGGCCCCCAGCAACACATTTCACACAGAGTATTAACTGTGAATAATTGCATAAAGTACAGACTTCACTGCTAGCACTTCTGTCTACAGATCACTATGTAAATAACAGATGTGCATCATGGTAAGTGACCAGTCACCTCACTTCTTTCAAAGTACGTCAGTTACTGGTCATTGTTTACACAGAGACAGAAAACATGTAGTTGTGTTGCTTCCTTGTCTCCCAGTAATAAACCCACGTGGCCTTTTTACAAAAATGGATAATTGAGAGGAAATTGACCAAAAAAGATAAAAGTGTAGCAAAGAACCAAAAAGTAATAACATAGAAAGTGAATTTCAAATTGAACATAAAGGGAATTATAGAAGAAAGAGCTGAGTGTGGGAATGCTGACATTGCCACTGGTCGAGACTCCAGATACACAGCCAGAGGAACATGGTGAAAATGAGCTTATTGACGTAGATGAGGAAAGTGGTTGTAGCACAAAAGACGAAGATATCCCAGTACAAGTGAAGCCAGCAAAAAGCTACACATTAAAGGAACTCTTAGATGTTTCACGATATTGAAAGTGCAAAGGATAAAATGTTGATCCTAACTTAGAAGTCTGACAGTTTGCCAAGGCATAGAAAGGATGCCCGCTCCATATTGTAAGTTATCAAACGAGAAGAAGGCAAGTTCCTTTCAGACTACTCTTAATAAGTTTTTTTACAAAGGAATAATAGACACTATAATTCTCAGTGTTTCTAATGTTTTAAGTTATAGTGTACTAAATATTAGTTTTACTGTTTTTCAGAATTTCCTTTTACGTATGTAACTGACAGAGCTTTTAGTGTTTTGGTAAACATATTTCTAGGTCACAGAACAATCTTATTTTTTCTCATTGATGTTGTGATCTCTTTTGCCTGGTTTCAACTTGCACCATCATTGTTATGGTCTCATACTATTGTGCAAAACGAGGACTGCCTGTACTTAACTGTTCACTTAATTTTTTCTCCTAAGCTACTAGGAGCACCCTCCAACTAGCCTCTTCTTACAGAGTTTTGTATATGCATCTATAACAAAGCACGTTTCCTTTAGCAAGCTTTGTTTTTTAATAAAAATTTTCCTGACTAGAAAAGAAGTAGCATACTTGTCTTGTGATAATAACAAGAAAGTAAATATTCTTGAAGTTGATATTAAAGATATTCTCCTAGGGAGGGAAATGTCAATTTCATGTGTCTGTTGCTTTCTGTCTTTTTTTCCTGGTAATAGTTTTATTAAGATATAATTCACATAACTACAATTCACCCATTTAAAGTGGTTTTTAGTATATACAGAGTTGTGCAACCATCACTACAGTCAATTTTAGAATATTTTCGTCACCGCAAAAAGAAACTATATACTCTTTAACAGTTATATCCCAACCCCCTATCCATCCCAGCCCTAGATAACCACTTACCTATTTTCTGTTTCTATAGATTTGTCTATTCTGGACATTTCATATAAATGGAATCATACAACATGTGGCCTCTTTTTGACTGGCCTCTTTCACTTAGCATAATGTTTTCAAGGTTCATCCGTGTTCTAGCATGTATTAGTACTTCATTCCTTTTGTATGGCTGTATACTATTCCACTGAATGAATATACTGCATATTGTTTATTCA